CCGGATTTTTTTCGCTTTTATTTCCGACAAGTAAAAAACGTTAAAAAACACTGTCGGCCACTTGAAAATAATGCAATCAGGCGCCCTGGCCTAGGTTTCTCACTGCGCGGGAACTCAAATCCTCGTCCCTCGGCGGCACCTTTTTTGAATTTTTTTTTTCATTTTCAACGGCGTTTTTCGGGGATTTCTGATTTCTTTCGAGTTTTTTTGCAATAATATTCGAAAAATAGATAACTATTGAAACATTTTAATACAAAAAAAAATTTTGGTCGGAGTCCCCCTTTAATGTTTCTCGTTATTAAATCATTTTGTGCGCAAATTGTGGTTTGTGCTATTTCTTTGTAATTTGAATTAGAACATTGAAGCTAACTCCATGGTTTTTAGTTACATAAGTTGTAAATATGTATAAATTTTTTATTTTTTTTGTATTACGCATTGTACAAACATATGTATGTACCAACTTAATCGTTCTTTGCACTATTTCAAAATCTCTCTTTCTGCCGCCCGAAAAACCACAAAAATTAAACAAAAGGCTCCTCTCTAATTTTTGATCGCTGCTGTTTCTATGCCTACGTCTCGCTTGCCCCGCTGTCTCAAATTTTCGGCGAACCACCAACTTTTCTATTTACCCAGTGACATATTCTCGAAACATACATACACTCACCCCAGACCAAGCAGAACAGAGAAAGATAGGCAAAACTAAAAATGACGAATAAAATGTCGATTGTCTCCTGCAAAATTTGTGGACAAGATTCGCATGGGATCCATTTTGGTGTCCGGTCCTGTCGAGCGTGTGCCGCGTTTTTTCGGTGAGTTTTTGGATTTTTAAAAATGGAAAAATTTGAAAATAATCTTTTCAGAAGATACGCCCATTCCAAATGGGTCATCGCAAAGTGTACAAGGAAATCGGCAAATCGGGAAGTGTGAGTCCTTATTTTCTTTTTTTTCCAAATTCAAGTACATGCTAAGTATCCAGAAATGGGCAAAAACATACACAAAAAAACCGGTCCTTCACAGGGCTCAAAATGTACAGGACAAATTTATATCATAATTTTACTGTTTCAGTGAAAAATAGACATCTTTGGAACACTGCAAAAGCAGTTCAATATTTTTCAATTTGTCTGAAAATTTCAGAGTGTTTAGCAAAAATAGAGCTTCATGTTTGTAATTGACAACTTTACTGGAAAATTCCATTCTGGCGAGATATGCAATTTGGAACCAAAAAAGTTTAAAAAAACTGAAAATGGAGTTGTGCTACTTTGAAACCGCTTATCTCGCTTCTTTGAAGTTTTACAACAAATGTATCAATTACAAAAATGAACCTCTATTTCCGTTCAATCTATTCTGAAAATTTCAGACAAATCAAAAAATTCTGACCTACTTTTTCAGTATTTCAAACTTGAATACATAGACCAAAACTTGAAAAATTGAAAAATTCAGAAATTCAGAAATTCAGAAATTCAGAAATTCAGAAATTCAGAAATTCAGAAATTCAGAAATTCAGAAATTCAGAAATTCAGAAATTCAGAAATTCAGAAATTCAGAAATTCAGAAATTCAGAAATTCAGAAATTCAGAAATTCAGAAATTCAGAAATTCAGAAATTCAGAAATTCAGAAATTCAGAAATTCAGAAATTCAGAAATTCAGAAATTCAGAAATTCAGAAATTCAGAAATTCAGAAATTCAGAAATTCAGAAATTCAGAAATTCAGAAATTCAGAAATTCAGAAATTCAGAAATTCAGAAATTCAGAAGTTCAAAATTTTGTTTATTCCAGATGCTTTTGCCGTCCTTGCCGATTACAAAAATGCTTGAAACTTGGAATGGTCACAACTAGTAAGTCTTCAAATTCCATTTCCCCAACAAAAATAATCAATTGTTTCCAGAATTCCAATACGGCCGAGAAATCTATTCGCTAGCTTCAAAAACGCCAACAAAATTAAACCCAACACTTGCATCTTTCATTGGTCGACCTGAATTTCTGATGTTCTGTGATCCGCAACCATCGAATTCAAAGACATTCATTGATGTTCAGAACTTGTTGTCTGAAGCATCACGTCTTCTGAATATGGGATGTGAAACACCGATTCTAGCCGAGAACCAGTTGAAAAAGCTGAGCCTAGGCGCCAAATTTCTGAAGCTTGACGTTGAAAATGTCAAGTTTCTTGGCAGGTTCGGAAAGGACGAGTTTGTAGATGTCATCGAATTTTACTTTGTATCCGTGATCAAGTGGATAAGTCGATTTGATGAGTTTCAAAAGTTGGAAAGAGATGTGCAGGTACCGACCGAGTAAATGAGATTAGAATTGAACTTTTTGATTTCAGATGACACTTTTGAATTCCATTTGGCACGTCTTCATGAGATTCCACAAATGCTCAGCGACTGCATTGTTCCGGAAATCTAATCACAATGCTCTGCCATCTCAAAAGATTCTGAGAAACGTTTGTATGGATCGAATGAAGTCGTGTTTGGATACAACATGGATGAGTGATTTTCCCAGGGAATATGTAGGAATGTGAGTGATTTTAAGAGCTAAATGATTGGTCAGCTACCAGGGCGCGAATACCAGTGTGCATCTTGGTAATCCGTTTTTGAAAGCCGCTAATTTTGTTTGAATTTTTTTTGAACCGTTGACATGCCTGGAAAACGAAGCAGGTGAATATCAGGTCATTTTTAGGTCATCTACCATTGTGGCCTAGAAAACTCATCTTGCAAAATTTATAATAGTCGCCTAGAAAACTAAACTTACTAAAGTTAGGCCACTATGTTGAACAGGCCCCGGAAACCCGCTAGGTAAATATCGAGGTCATTTCTAGGTCATTTACCAAGGTGGCCTAAAAGCTCAGATTGCAAAATCTAGGCCACCAATTTAAAATGACCTAGAAAACACATTAGGTGCATGTTACCCCATTTTTAGGCCATCAACTACGGTGGCCTAGAAAAAGCCTGTTGAGAAAGTCAGGCCACTATTTTGCTCACATGAAAAAAATTTTTATGATTTTTAGCTAAAATGCAAAAACTTTCACTTTTTAGATACATGAAATCCCAGAACATTTACGAAGAGGACGTAATTGAACAAATCGAAAAATTGAGTCCAACAGATGTGGAGCTCACCTACATGTTTGCTCAGACTTGTTTCCAATATGCTGGAAACCGATTTCAAGGAGAAATTCTGAAAATCACGGATCGATTCCAACAAATTCTATCCGACGACTTGCATGTCTATTATATCGTCGAACAAAAGAATTCGAGATATTTCAAAAGATTGGCAGAACTGATGAAGGTCAATAATATGATTCAGGTAAGCGGTGGACAACTGGATGAACAGATTCACAGATATTTTTTTCCAGAAATCCGTCTGGGAAAGCCGACCACAACGGGAGTTGAATCGAGTGTTCAATGTATTGAAAATCGGATTTTCACACCCCGAAATGTTTCAGGACTCCCCATTTTGCAGTTTTACATGATTTTTTTTTGCATTTTAAACAAAAGTACAAATTCTTCAATTTCAAAATAAACTACCTATGTATTTCTCTTTTTTCTCACAGCCTTCGTGTTTCTTCTTATCAGCTGGTTTCGATGATCGACCTGTCTATCTGTCTGCGTCTCTTCTCTTTCTCTCATTCAACAAAAAAATTTCATATACGACCGAGAATTTTGGTTTCCCAATCATGACGAATTGTCAATTTCCATGCAGAGTATGCGGTCAGAAGGCGCATGGAAATCATTTTGGCGTTTATAGCTGTCGCGCCTGTGCCGCGTTTTTTCGGTGAGTCAGATATTAGGCAGCTAAGCGGTCGCAAAGATCAATTTCAGAAGAACGGCGACATCGAAATGGGTCCACAAGAAGTGTCGTAATGGACATGAAGAGAAGACGTGCATTTGTAAAACGTGCCGCCTGAAAAAATGCCTGGAAGCTGGAATGAGAACGGAAAGTGAGTATTTTATGACCTAGAAAACTTTTTAAAAATCCTCGGCCATACTTCATAAGGTCAGTTTCCAGAATTCCAATACAACCGTGACGCAATTCTGCTCGCTGAAACTTCCATAACCCCTAGCATGTCCTATTTCGTAGGTCGCCCTGAATTTTTGCTATTCTGCGATCCTGAGATTCCCACATATTCAAGATTCAATCCGAAAATTATAATTGATGTGAACCACTTGATTTCTGAAGCGGCACGTCTTCTGGACCTGGGTAATTCGACACCATATCAGGCGGAAAATCAACTGAAAAAACTGGCACTCGGATTTAACTTGATAAAATTGGACACCGAGAATGTGAAGTTTTATGGGAAAATTGGACAGACCGAATTCATGGATATTATTGAATATTATTTTGTAAAAGTCTCCAAATGGATCATGCACTTTGACGGGTTTCAGAAGTTAGAGAAAACTGTTCAGGTAATATTTTTTCATCTGATTTTTCTAGCTCAATTATCTCGGTTCCTGTCGAAGATATTAAAAAATTGTCGACTAAAAATTTGTTTATTATGATATTACTAACATTTAATCATTTAAAAACGTCTTTCTGTCTCCGTCCGGAACCGAGATAAAGTGGCTCAAAGTGAGGGCCCTTCAATTAAAGGTTGTTGTTTTTTTCAGATGAAAATCCTGCAAGCAATCTGGCACGTGTGGAGTAAAATTCACAAGTGCTCCAGTACAGCAATGTACCGAAAATCGCATCATGGAGCTCGAAAAATGCACAAAATCATAAGAAATACGGTGATGGATAGGGAGAAGGCGAAAATGGATTTGAGTTGGATGAGTGATTATCCAGAGGAGTATGTGATAAGGTAGAGGATAATTTTTTAAATAAAAAAAGCTATTTTGAATTTTCAGATACATGTTCTCCCATAATTGCCAAGATTTTGAAATCATGGAAGCCATCGAAAATCTGGATCCATCGGATGTGGAGTTAACTTTTATGTTTGCCCAATTGTGTTTCGAATATGCTGGAAAACGATTTCAAGGAGAGATTTTAAAAATTACTGATGGATTCCAACAAATTTTGTCAAATGACTTGCATGATTATTATGTTAGGGATCAGAGGAGGCCTCGATACTTTGGAAGATTGAATGAACTTTTGAAAGTCAATAATTTGGTACAGGTGAGCAAATTTAGGTATTCGAAGTCTTGAAATTTGTAAAACAAAAGGTCATTTCGAAAATACCGATTTCGGAACTGAACTTTTTAAAACAGATCATTTCGCAACTTGCCTTTTTGCAACTGACCGCAATCGTCAAATGTCAGGCTCTAGAACGTCAGGTTGCGGGAGGTCCATCATAGTTAATGGTTGGAGAATAGGCTAACATGCACTTGATGTGTTTTTAGGTCATTTCAACATGGTGGCCTAACTTTCGCAAGTCGAGTATTCTAGGCCACCATAGTGAATGGCCTCGAAAACACACCAGGCAAATATCAGGTCATTTCTAGACTATTCACCAGGGTGGCCTAACTTTTGCAGGATCAGTATTTTAGGCACTATGGTATATGACCTAGAAATATCCTGACATTCGTCATGTGTGTTTTCAATGCCAGATGCCATTTCTAGGTCATTTATTATGGCGACCTAACTTTCGTAAGTTGAGTTTTCTAAGAAACCAATTTTTATGACCTAGAAGCGGTGCAATATTTACTTGGTGTCTTTTTCAGATTATTGTAGCAGTGTGGCCTAATTTTTGCAAGTTGAGTTTTCTAGGCCACCATTGTAAATGGCCTTTAAAGCACATCAGTAGATTATCAGGCCATTACTAGGCCATTTACCAGGTAGCCAAACTTTTTCAAGTTGAGTTTCTAAGGTAACCATGGCAAGTGGCCTAGAAAACCCTGTTGCGAATATCAGGCCTTTTCTAGGCCATTTACCATAGTGGCCTAACTTTTGCTAATTGAGTTTTCTAGGCCAACATGATAAAAAGAGCACCATGCTAAAAAATACAGTGTTTTCTTTCAGAAATCCATTTGGCAAAGTCGATCGAATAGCGAACTTGGTCGAGTGTTTGACGTTGTGAAAATCGGATATTCCCATCCCGAAATGTTTGTGGATTCTGGATTTTATTAACTAATCGTTTATTCATTCACTGTACATAAAAATGTTATTAATTCCCGTTGTAGTCTTTGGTACAAATATCTACAATCGGATTGTAAATGTCATGCACTGCACGAAGACCAAACACAAAATCAAAGTGGTTGTAGTCCGTGAAATAGTTGTTTTGCTGAAAAAAAATTGTGTTTTCTATTTTCAGCATTGCCAGACGTACCGCAATGATTGCCGGGTTCAATCTGGTTAAGAGGTAATCAGTGATATCAGTCTTATCAGCCAACCAGTCGGCGTCACTCCAGTACAAATAGATTTGGGTTCCCTTTATGACGGTGAAGTCGTATTCTGGAGGGTTAGCCTGGAATTTTTTGGATTTCATGAATTTGACGATCTCTAGAAACCTGGCCATATTTCTTTTTGTTTTCCTTGGTACCCCAGTCATACGCCGGGACACCTCCATGACGGACCATTTGAATCCAGTGAACGATATTCTGAGTAGCTGTTCCTGCTGGATCATGTGATGCGTAGACTGGAACACGTGTGGAATTCCATTGATCGCTTTCTGGTCCGGCAATCAGGAAGCAGACGTTGTCACAGAGGTCTGACTCAATTTTGAGACCACCGCAAATGTCCTTGGCAGCAAGTTTCATAGCCCAGTTGTTGGGAAGGAACTCACCAGCGCCAAAGATGTCGAACCAGCCCTGGAAGCAAAGAAAATATTCTGAAATTCTGAATTTCGAGTAAATACATCAAACTCCAGAGAGAAATAGTGTGCAAAAAAGGACAGAAATCCCTTGATATTCTTCACGGATCCGACTGGCGCCAATGCAAAGAATTTCTTGATCTTCTTCGCGAAACTTCCATCATCTTTAGACAGATGACTGAACATTGTCAGGGTACCCTGCGAGTGACCCATATAGTACAAACTCTCTTGTCCAGTCACTTCCAAAACTTTATTGATCATTGCCGGTAGGTCATAAGTGGCCATCTCGTCCCAACTCCATTCCCAGAAGTCCGAATGGGACGGTTTCAAACTCTTGTGCTTCATACTGTAGGTGTTACCACGCATGTTGCCAAGCCATACGTCGAAGCCAGCATCTGCGAAGATGAAGGCTGAAATTTTGATTTTCAGATGTTTTTATTATTTTCAGCAGACACCACGTCAGTTTTCGCGTCGTGTAAGAACATCGGAGGTTATTTTTCAAAAATTTGAAGTTGTGTTTTGTGAGAAATATTAATAGAGCTATAGTAGCATAATACCGTAATACATAAAGTACAGTAAATAATACCGAAATACCGTGTTACCGTGTTACCATAATACCGAAATACCGAAATACCGTGTTACCGTGTTACCGTAATACCGTAATACCGGGAATTTACGTTGAGCTGTGCCACAAAAGGCCGCAGAATTTTGATTACTGTACTTCTTAGATAGATGACAGAGATGTCCGGATTCCGGATTCCGGAAAATTAATTTCATTCCGGATTTCGTGAAATTTTTATCTGTCCGGATTCCGGCTTCCGAATCCCGAGAAAATTATTTTATTTCGGATTCCGGATTCCGTTTCTCAAAAAATGCATTCCGGACATCTCTGATAGATAGGTTACGGCGGCCGCTGAGCGTATTTTCAAAAAAACGAACTAATTGGTCCACGGCAAACTAGCCACGACCTGAGTCACAGCTTGCACATTTTTTGTTTGGGAAAGCAGAAAATTAAGATTCTTCCGAACCTGATAATTTAAACTTGTTATTTTGATTTCTCGTATTTTGGTACAAACTTTTTTCCCGGATCACATGACTTCCATCTCCAAGAGCTTAATGTACCTGCACTCTGATCCGGCAAGTTCATTGTCCAATCAGTCGAGGCACACAATAGTCCGTGCTGCATGAAAACAACCGGTTGTTTTCCATTTGGCCACGTTACATTGTCTGAAATTTTTTCCGTCTTGATGACGTGCTTCTTTGTTTTTTCTTGCTCACTTTTCCCATGTGGGATTCTGTGAAGTTCCAAAATGTACCCGTCGTCCGTGGTGACCGAGTAGATCATAGCTGGGTACCCCCAGCGTTCAATGATTTGGGGCTGAAAATTGTTTTCTCTAGTTGAGACACGTGCACGCCTACACCAGGATAAATCAAATTTGTGAGAAACCAAAAGTAACGTTATTCATTAAGCTCACCGTAGTCATATGAAGCTCTGGATCACTTTTTGCCGCTACATTTTGAACCGAATTTAGAGTGACAAGTAGTAAGAGAGCACATAACGAAGAGCAGAACATTTTTTCTCCAGATAAAATTTGAACTGCCTGTCTTTTATAAGGTGTGCTCGATTATGTGCCTGTCATGACATCTTGAACAATTAATTTGCTCTTATCACACTGACTTTTGTTTTATGTACTTTGTGTATACTTGGGCTCAAAAAATACGGCTTCCAAAACGTTGTATGAACAAACATCAGGTGGGAACGAGTAAGCTACAGTAACCCGTCCAAACAAGGAAATTTCAATTCAAGCTGGAATGAAAATTTTCAATCAGGAGCAGATTTTCAATTAGAGGACAAGTTTTTCCAGAGATCGCTAATTCCCATTCCGAAAGTTGTTTGCCGTTTCTGTGTTCTGTTTTTCTCACAGTGTTTTGATATCCGGAAATCTGAAAAAAGACAAATATTTTTTTCCTGAATTCACCTGAACATTTATTCCTTTTGACGTGAACATGTTGACGATTAGGCTTTCCATGACGGGCGGGTAGCGAACGGGTAGCTGCTACCCGCCCGTACTCGTACCCGCCAGCTACCCGCCCGCTTGCTACTCGTAACTTTTTGTGTTTGCAGACAATGCGCGCAACTTGCCGACACTTCGATTAAAATTTTTTTGAAATGATTTTTTGACAATTTATGTCGCTTATTGATGTAGAAAATAGTTTTGAAGTTGAAACAAAAATAATTCAGGTATAAAAATTCATCAGCCAGTAAAAATGGACGAATTTGTTTCGGATGAAGCTTTTCGGATGCGCGCGAATTGTCGGCAAGTTGCGCGCATTGTCTGCAAACACAAAAAGTTCCGGGTAGCAAGCGGGTACGGGTACGGGCGGGTACGGGTAGCTGCGGGTACGGGCGGGTATATCGCTACCCGCATGGAAAGCCTATTGGCGATTTTTCATGCTTCGAGATTTTTCATTGTGTTTTAACGTTTGACACACCACAACACCTGATTTTTAAGATACCCCTAACTGTTACTTTTAAGTCAGTTTTACTCGTTTTCTGGGAAAGATATCGAGAAGTAGTCAACTCATAAATTGTTTATCATAATATCGATAATAATTTGTCAGTTGACCACTTTTTGATATCTAGCATAGGTGCTGAAATATGAGCTTAAACCCGACAGTGTAGGTGTTCATCTAGTATAAGTTACTAACCAGTGTACTAACCACGACTTGGGCTTCTAAATTAAACTCTTTAGCCACCAAATTTGAAAAAATTTCGAAATCATTTTCAGAAAATGGTTGAAAGCGCCTATAAAGGAGAATTGGCAGAAATAATTGAAGTTATTGAGTAAGCCTCTATTGAGTAAGCCTCCAAGTACAATTCCATCAATTCCAGATCCATCGCAGATCCACTGAACACTGCGAATCTTTTCTTATCATTTGTCTCCATTTTTATCAATATTCTCCATTTTATCATTCTCACCAGCTCATCTATGAAATCCTCATCTACCAACGTCATAATGATTGGAATAGCCATCGTTGACATTTTCACACTAACACTTACCGTGGTCAAGCATGCAAGTCTAGTCGATATTGAGAATAATGAGTGGTAATTCAAAATAATGGGTATTTTCGAGAAGAGTGCTGCCAAATTTAGACCGTCGGCAAAGTATCCCCGGTCCCATCGATAATAAGAGCGGTTCCAACATGACGACAGCGGTCCCATCCCTTCGACCACGTTCCCATATACCGTAATCCAAAAATGAGCCAAGTGGATAGGGAGCGTGATAGTGGACATGAAGAGTGGGCCCAAATCGAACCATCAGTCCCAAAAAAGATACCCTCGGTCCCATCGACCATAAAAGCTGTTCCGACATTCCGACCGTGGTCCAATTCCACCAACCACGGTCCCATACCCTTGAACACGCTCCCACTTTTTGATAATGGTAAGCTTGACTATGGTCGTCATGTTAGGACCGCTCTCATGGTCGATGAGACCGAAGGTATATACTTGGGACCAATGGTCCCATGATGTAACCGAAGGTCCCAACTTGTGACCACTCTTTTCGGATTGGCTCAAAATATTTACACTGATTAAATATCCAAAACACTTCTAGCGTTACTTCAAACCTATTCTGGAAAGTGTACTTTGATATGGCGGTCTGGGGACTTCAAGACTATTTTCGAAGATGTTCCACGTGGCTTGGACTGATGATGGCTATTGTGAGAACTATGATTGTGAAGAATATCTTAGGGAATCAGTAAGACTCTCGTTTAATAATTATGTAAAATGTTCATCTCAGAAATTCAACTCTGACAAAACCGAAACTTGGTATTTTTATAGTTTTCTCAATAGTTGTTCTGGCATCAACATTATCAATTTTCTATAATTTGAGATTCACAGTAGTGGAAAATCGTTCGGATAACCTTCCGATAAGTTGTGAAGAGTTTCAAGACATTGAAAAGCCACCTAGGTTTTCTCTGAATCTTGTGAACATTTTTATAATGAATGAAAAAGTCGTGTTACGGATCTATTTGATGGTCGACGCGGTTCTGTCGAAAGTAGGATGAGAAATGGATAATTTTTTCCAAAAAAATGGTTTTTCAGTTTATTCCATGAAATTCTGAGATTCTAAGATTCTGAGATTCTGAGATTCTGAAATTCTGAGATTCTGAGATTCTGAAATTCTGAGATTCTGAAATTCTGAGATTCTGAAATTCTGAGATTCTGAGATTCTGAGGTTCTGAGATTCTGAGATTCTGAGATTCTGAGATTCTGAGATTCTGAGATTCTGAGATTCTGAGATTCTGAGATTCTGAGATTCTGAGATTCTGAGATTCTGAGATTCTGAGATTCTGAGATTCTGAGATTCTGAGATTCTGAGATTCTGAGATTCTGAAATTCTAAGATTCTGAGATTCTGAGATTCTGAGATTCTGAGCTTCTGAGATTCTGAGATTCTGAGATTCTGAGATTCTGAGATTCTGAGATTCTGAGATTCTGAGATTCTGAGATTCTGAAATTCTGAGATTCTGAGATTCTGAGATTCTGAGCTTCTGAGATTCTTCAATTTTTAGGTTCTCAAGTTTTCGTATTCTCGGTTTCTCGGATTCTCAGCTTCTAGGATTTTCAGATTCTCGTATTGTGACGTTTTCAAATTCTGATTTCCAGCAAGGACCACACTACCCTACTCGTCATTGTCATGACTTTTGCATTTTTCATCGCCGAAGCTCCCCTTGGAATCATCTACACTATTAACGCATTCCATCATGACAATGCACACCTAATGTAAAAATTACAAAAAATTAAAATTTATCTTTTTATTCTTCAGAATCGCCTCGGTAGACGTCATAATCGTCTTCGCTTGTCTTTTAACCATCAATTCCACGTGTCACTTTTTCTTCTGCATATTTCTCTCCAGACAATATCGATCAACAGTTTATTACACTTTCAGACTGGACAAATTAGTATTAACAAACAATGTGAATAATGGAGAGACCAGAAACGCAAGCAGTGTGGTTGTCCCATCAGTTAGGCTTATTTCGGTACATTGATTTTTATAACTTGCTATTATTCTTGTCGGCCACCATGATGATCCTTGTTTCTCTTTTGTAATCCGGCAATCTTTGTGGAATTCCCAAATGTTTCTTGAAGAATTTCAAATGTCCCTCCCAAACGTTCACTTGAAATTTTGAGTGTAAATAATTCTCTCCACCAAATCCCAACAAAATCCGAATGAATTTGTTAAACGCGAACCATTGGTGTGGTTGGTATGGGATGATGATTGTATGGCCACCAGGCACAAAATCGATCTGAAAATTTCGGTAGAGCGGAGTTGCAATAAGATCCCTCCGTCTAGTTTGCGCACCAAGGAAGAGGTGAAAATGTTTTTAAATCACTTTTTTAATTTTACAATATGTTGAAATGGTTGAACAAATACATTTACGATTTTCTGTCCAATTTTGATCTCCCTATGCCTTTTAGAAGCCAAGCTACAGCCGTTTGAAGTTCTAAAGGCTGGAGACGCAGAAAAAAACACTCGAATTGTCTGCGTCTCTGAAAACTTCAATGGTGTGTATCTTGGCTCTTACTGTCTGTACAATAAAACGTGGGCGCGCCGCAGGTTGCAAAGTGACACGTGGCATGTTTCATAAAGGGGCGTGTCGCGTTAGCCCAGCCCCTTGCCCACATTTTATTGTATATGTAGACAGTAGATGTGCGAAACATTTATATTTTAAAGGCAAAGTTGACGGTAAGGGGTCCTAAACTATGGGGGGGGGGGGGGGGGGTTTCTAGTAAAGCTTACTTCAATTTGATGTCCAGTTTTTCGAAGATGTTCTCGAATATTATACCCATTGGATACACCACATAACAGCCAATCATCTAGAGAAGCCTGGAAAAACAGAAAATTTTGTATGTATTTTAAGGGATGGAGGACTTGAAAAAATATATTTCTCGAAATTTGGTTCATAGAGCCTCTCGGAAGTTGCGCCGCCGACCTGGTGGGCCCAGCAGTTTTATTACCCAAGGGCTTATATAAACGAAATTTCCAGAAATATATTTTCAAGCCCCACTCTCTCCTTAAGCTTACCACTAATCGAAATGGTACCTTCCTCGATATCCTTTCCCATTTTATACTAGTCTCCTCTGTCAACCTTCTAAAAACATCTTTAAAAACTTCGGTTTGCCTCAGAACTCCATTATGCGGAACTGATAACGAATCATCCAATTTTTCACAACGTATAGGCTCCCCATCTTCTTTTATAAACCCAGTTTCTCTGTAAAATGCCTCCGGACCATTCACAGATACGACTGCTGAAAGTTCTCGATGTCTAGTTGCCAGATGCATCGCTATGGTTCCGGCGAATGAGTTTCCGTATAATCCGATTTTGTCAGAACAGTATGAAAGAGATTGGACGAGCCGGATTTGTCGCTGGAAAAAATTGATTTATTGATTTACTGAACTTTTGACCTACCGACAAGTACTCTACATCGACATCGATCATTTTTTCGGGAAGTCCTGGCTCATCGAACATCGGGAAACAGTATGTTAGATATCCTTCAGATGCAAATAGTGCTGCATGACCTTTGTAGAGTTTTCCACTGATTACTGGGGTGTCGATAATACATGGAAAGGGTCCAGGACCAGGTGGTTTGAAAATTGTGCCGTATAATCCATCTCGAGAGATTTGAATTTGTTCTATTGATGGATGGCACCAGCGCTTTTTCAAATGGAGTTGGTCTAAAAGTCGGTCGGAATTGGAGATAGTCTGAAACAGAACAAATAATTTTGAGAGTTTCTTAGGGTTCAGCTACGCGGTGCATCTCACTTTAAAGTATAATAATATGGTTTGGCGTCCGGATTCCTCACATATGCTCCATATTGAACGTCATCTGTTCTCAGAAGTGTCAAGAACAGTCCCATAGGATCAACATCATGATATGTCCCACGGATTGGCTTATCAGTGTCCAAATCTATTTCCCCTAACCCATCAGAACGAATAAGACAAAACGAGCGTAAGATTCCTTGGTCCGAGTGTAACCTAAAAATTTTTTCATAGAATACAGGCGACAGTTGGACTAACAATAGCTGGAATTGATAGCACTCGAACTCATTGAGTCCGGATGCTGAAATCCTAACTTTTTCAGTTAATAAACTGTCCACTTTGTCCACATGGAGCATTTTTGTAGGATGGTTTGAAAATCGATTTGAGCCAAATACACATGTGTCAAAAGAATCAAATGACACAGCGTATGAATTTTTTATCAGTTATTTAAAATGTTGCGAAAATTGTTGATGCATCAAACAACATTCATGCAAAAGAAATAGGAACCAAAAGCTCAAGAGTCAATCTTGAAGTAGGGGAGACCGGCGATTTTTAGAAGGTACAGTATGCATTCTGACGTAACGGTGAACAGAGTCGGTGTTCAACTAACGAATGGGTCGGTCGCGCTACCGTAGCAAACTGGTAGTGGCGGGGCATCTCCAGCGCTGGGCCACAAGTTCATCTCCTGTTTTTATGAAAATCATCCAGTTCTCAGAAAAAGGTCAAGAATACAAGAATAGTTTACAACATCAACCTTATTCACATAGAGCATCATTTATGAAAAAATTACAAAAAAATAGAAATGTTGACCCATTTAATGTGATTCTTGTTGCCGAAAACTCTTATCAGTAAGCAAACAAATATTGCAACATTGAAAAAACGAATTAAAAAATTGTTTGGCCATCTTGCAGTTTTTACAACATAAATTTATTCAGAGAAAACTATCAAGCATCTGTATTCACAACTTGCTTCCGGCTTTCCCAGGTATCACGATATGTGTATCCCTCTTATAATCCGGTAAATGTTTTGGGGTTCCCAAATGTTTTTTGAAAAATTTGATATGATTGAGCCATGCGATTTCTTGAGTCTTGGAATGTATTGCTGTCTCTCCACCGAATCCCAGAATTACGTTGACAAATTTGTTATACGCAAATGGAGGGTGTGGCATATATGGGACTACTGTCACGTGGCCAGAATTTGCAAACTCAACCTGGAAAGATTGATGAAGCGTACTTGGAATAGTTAGTGTCTTACTTCAACTTTGTGTCCAGTTTTAAGCAAGTGATCCCGGATATGAGATCCGTTGCTAATCCCGTCAATGATCCAGTCGTCCATTGCAGCCTTTAAGAATATCGTGATAAACAAGTTTAAACCAAGGCTGTTTCACGATAGACCGTCGCTTGGCACTTCCTTAGCGACTTTTCCTACAGCGACTTACCATTATCCTAAACGGAATATGTCTGGGTATCTGATCCCATTGGATGCTTGTCTCCGGTTTCAAACGACTAAAAAGGTCCAGAAACGATTCCCGTTGTCTTAGAACTCCATTTGGCATAGTCGACAACGAATCATTCAAAGTTTCACACTCCATCGCTTTCCCATTTTCTCTCATGTACCCTTTTTCTTTGTAAAAAGCTTCTGGACCGTTTGTAGTTGCAACTGCAGAAAGTTCTGGATGTCGAGTAGCTAGATGATACGAAATGGTTCCAGCAAATGATATTCCATAGAGACCAATTTTGTTAGAGCAGTAGGGTAGAGATTGAACAAACTTTATGTGCTTCTGAAATCAAGATTTTCATTTGTTTTCACTATATATTGATTATGAGAGTTCTAGGAAATGATCCAAAAGGAACATACCGATAAATATTCAATGTCTACATCTTGCATTCTTGGTGGAAGTCCTGGCTCATCAAACATTGGGAAACAAAAGCTCAAAAATCCTTCAGCAGCAAAAAGCGGAGCATGAGCCTTTGAAAGTTTTCCAGTTAAAATTGGTGTAGCTATAATACATGGGAAGGGTCCAGGTCCAGGTGGTTTATAGATGACACCCCATATTCCATCCTGTTTCACTTCGATTTCTGTCACAGATGGGTGAAGCCAACGTTTTTTAATATTGACCTCATCCAAGAGTTGTTCGGATTCAGAGAGCAATCTGGAGTAATGATATGCTTTGATCAAGGCAAAACATTTTGAAAAAATTAAATAAACCTCAATGTATATAAGAATGGTACTGCATCTGGATTTCTGACCATATCACCAAATGGAACATCATCTGTTCTCTCCAATGTCAGAAATAATCCCATTGGGTCGGCATCTGAAATTCATAATTATGAGTCCAAATAATTCAGAACGAATCAGATTTTACAACAAAAACCAGGGTAGACCATTTTAATGACGTACCTAGATATGTCCCTCTGATTGGCTTCGCAGATGGCAGATCAATTTTTCCATGTTTATCAGACCTCAGAATACAGTATGAACGTAAAATTCCGTTTGCCGAGTGTAATCTAAAATGTTCGCAACAGTTTTTACACTCATCCAAAATACAATTTAGTTACCTCAACTCAAATTTATAGTTTAAAAATGGTGTCAACCCTGAAGCTGATATGTTCAACTTTTCAGTCAGAAAACTATCAACCTTATCCACGTGGAGCATTCTGAATAACTTAGCACAGTGAAATTTTAAAAAACCACAAACAAAATTGATCTCTTTGGAATCAATTTTGTGCACAAAAACTCTTATCAGTCAGGAAACTCTGGCAAGAATAGGTTGAGAAAAAAATGTGATGCATACAACATTTATTAAATTTCAAAAAATTATATCTTGCTTCCGGCTTTCCCAGGTATCACGATATGTGTATCCCTCTTATAATCCGGTAAATGTTTTGGGGTTCCCAAATGTTTTTTGAAAAATTTGATATGATTGAGCCATGCGGTTTCTTGAGTCTTGGAATGTATTGCTGTCTCTCCACCGAATCCCAGAATTACGTTGACAAATTTGTTATACGCAAATGGAGGGTGTGGCATATATGGGACTACTGTCACGTGGCCAGAATTTGCAAACTCAACCTGGAAAGATTGATGAAGCGTACTTGGAATAGTTAGTGTCTTACTTCAACTTTGTGTCCAGTTTTGAGTAAGCAGTCTCGGATATGAGATCCGTTACTAATTCCGTCAATGATCCAGTCGTCCATTGCAGCCTTTAAAACTTTTTAAAGAACTAAAGGTACACTGAAAAGTCTTACCAGTATCCTAAACGGAATATGTCTGGGTATCTGATCCCATTGGATGCTTGTCTCCGGTTTCAAACGACTGAAAAGGTCCAGAAACGATTTCCGTTGTCTTAGAACTCCATTTGGCATAGTCGACAACGAATCATTCAAAGTTTCACACTCCATCGCTTTCCCATTTTCTCTCATGTACCCTTTTTCTTTATAGAACGCTTCTGGACCATTGGTAGTTGCAACTGCAGAAATCTCCGGATGCTTGGTAGCCAGATGATGAGCAATAGCTCCAGCAAACGAAATTCCATAAAATCCGATTTTGTCAGAGCAGTAGGGCAGATTTTCTACGTACTTGAAGTGCTTCTGAGTGATACAGTTGATAATAGTTTTAGGAAATAGGAACACACCGATAAATATTCTATATCCACTTCTCGCATTCTTGGTGGAAGTCCTGGCTCATCAAACATGGGAAAACAGAAGCTGAGGAATCCTTCCGCAGCAAAAAGTGGAGCATGAACCTTGAAAATTTTTCCGGAAAGTACCGGAATGTCTATGATACAAGGGAAGGGTCCAGGACCAGGTGGTTTGAAAATGAAACCCCAAATCCCATCTTGCTTGACTTCGATTTCAGTCACAGATGGGTGAAGCCATCGTTTTTTGAGATTCACTTCATCAAGAAGTTTTTCAGATTCGGAGAGCAGTCTGAATGAATCAAAATTTGAACGTATAAAAAATTCAAAGTTCAAAAATTCAAACAACAAACCTCAATGTATAGAAAAATGGTACTGCATCTGGATTTCTAACCATATCACCGAATGGAACATCATCTGTTCTCTCCAATGTCAGAAATAATCCCATTGGGTCAGCATCTGAAGTTTGTATTCATGATTCAAAAAATTTTAATACGAATCAGTAATATAACAAAAACTACGATGAACCACTTTAGTCAGTTACCTAGATACGTCCCTCTGATTGGCTTTGCAGATGGTAGATCAATTTTTCCATGTTCATCAGACTTTAAGATACAGTATGAACGTAAAATTCCATTGTCCGAGTGTAATCTGAAAATTCCGTACACATTTTTTAACTATTTTAAAATACAATTGAGTTACCTCAACTCAAGTTTATAGTTCGAAAATGGGGTCAACCCTGAAGCTGATATTTTCAACTTCTCAGTCAGAAAACTATCAACTTTATCCACGTGGAGCATTCTTGTCAGTGTGTACAAGAAATCAGAAACAAACAAAAGTTTGAGAAAGTGTTATCAGTGAAAGTGCAATTTCAGCAAAATCGACTTTCGATAGGTTTGTAGGTTTTGTGACTGATAGTGAGCAGAGTGTGATTTTTGTTACGTTCGAACGAATTTTCAACGTGCTCTTTCTAGGCCATCAAACTTATGTCCTAGAAATGGTAACACAATCCGTTGGGGGTATTTTCTAGGACATTCACCATGATGGCCTAACTTTCGTAACACGATTTTGCTAGTCCAATATGATAAATGGTCTAGAACATGCACCAGGTTAATTTTTTTGGCCCATTTCTAGGACACAAAATTCGATGGTCTAGAAAATTCATGTTGAGGAAATTAGGTCACTATGTAAATGGCCTAAAAACAATACGAATGTTTTTTGCTCAGAAAACCCCGAGAAATAAGTTTCAAAAATACTACGACACTCCGGAATACAAAATTTCGATATACTTTCAAAAAACACACACTGATAGTGATAACAGTTTATGATAAAAGAACAGTTCCAATAGGGATATCCGACTTGTCAAAAACGAAGAAATTAATGAAATTCAGTTCACCAAAATGGCATTTAATTCTCAGAACGTTTTTTCGATTCGAGCATTTGGAGAACCAGCAGTTTCCGTCTATTTGAATTTTGGGCGGTCCCTATAATGTTTCGAGTTTTTCGGAACTTAAAAATTTTTTAGAATAGGCATCGAACTCCAGAAATTTTGAAGACTTGGTGTAGATCTGAAATATTAAAATTCTTATCCAAATTTTGGAGAAAAAAACTCACATTTTTCAAAAAGTTCAAATCTGCGGCTGATAAAGATTTGAAGCAAATTTTGAGCCTTGAGAAATGTACCAAATGGGCCAAATGAACTGAAATTTCCTGAGGTCTCCAATACAATTCGTCGGCACTTTTCCATTGGATAGTCTCCACAATTTTTGACATTTCCAGTTGGAAACTGGAGGAAATATAGATTTTCCGCAGGTCCTTCGAATTCAGGTTCGGTAAAATTGACATAACTTGGTTTTCATCACAATTCAGAAATGTTACGCTTTCCGTTTTAATATTTGCAGATTCTAAATAAATTTTGAAAATTCCAGAAAATTCTATAGCACATAATTTTTGAAGAGAGTTTATATTTAGTGTAAAATAGGTTAATTTCGACTTTTGAAATCTCAAAACTTGTACCAAATCTCTAATTGCTGAATCCGAAGAGTTTTGTTTAATCAAAACCGATCCTTCTTCTTCTGAATGAAACGATAAATCAACTTGATTTTCGTGAACAGTAAAATCAATTCCACAGAATTTGGCAACCGGCAAAAATTTCACGTTTTTGGGGTCGTCAATAAAATTTCGAAATCTTCGACAAACTTTGCGTAGTATCAATCTATAAAATTACTCTTAAAAGTATTTCCCGCCAAAATACTCACATATTCTTAAAGTCGAAATTTTCGAAGATTTTTAACAAAACTTGATTAGGTAACAAGTCCATGTATGAAAATTGAGAGGAAGAAAAAAAAAGAGTTGGCAATGGGAAATTTCCAATGTTTACACAGTTTAGTTGTCTGCGTCTCTTGATTGTTGATGTCATCAAAAATTTTGTTGAGAATAAGAAACACTGAAATCTGAAATTCCGAAACACAGTTACGGTCAATAAGATACCGTAAAACCTGTGTTAGAAGGGCCGGCCTTTCTATTGTTCCAAGGTACCTCCGGAGGGCCCTTCAACTAGAGGGGTCCATCTATTTTCCGGTCAGTTTTTTCGAAATTTTGTATCGAAAAATTCAACGAAGTTTCGTTCAAAATTCATGAAAATCTGCCAATTTCACCAAAATTTAGCAAGATTTCCATCGAAAAATAAAATTTCAACACGTTTATATTAAATTGTGGAGTTCCCGGAATATCTTCCACAGGAAAAGTACGGAAATTTTCTGATTTCAAAACACATTTTGGAGGGGGTCCTTCTATTACAGGGGGCCCTTCTATTTTTCCAAGCCCCTCTCGTAGGGCCCTTCTATTAGAGGGGCCTTTCTATTAAGGGTGCCCTTCTAATACAGGTTTTACAGTGTACAAAAACGTTTTTCAGTTGATTTTCGGCCGTCTTGAAAATTTTCAAAAAGCTGGAGCTCGGTTTTCAAGTTTCCGATCGCTTCGAAAATTTCTTGAAAACTTTGCGTTCACAGAGCTTTTCGAAATCTTTTAGTTTTTCTGATATTTACTGATTTGTGTTTTCCCCATTTCAATACAAAAATGGTACAAAAAGGGTGTCCTTCAAAAACCGGCAAATAGCTGAAAAACTCGTAGTTTTAAAGTTTTTATGCATGCAAAGTTCTCAATCTAGGCCTGTTTTACACCTACAAAAGTTTTCAAAGCGACCCAACATTCCGCAGACTCCTGAAAACGGACAAAAGCAACTGAAAAACATGTTTTTCGCATATCTTATTGGCCGGTACTGTATGCTCCATTATCTCTAGGAAGCTCGATTTTTTGAATTTCAAAAGTTATCTGAAATCCATAAACTTTGAAAGGGAAAACGTACGGTTCCTGGGATCGCAACAAAATCCTAAGCGTCTACAATTACAAAAAAGGTAATTTTATAACGGGAATTCCACACTTCGAGGTAAAGTTCGATTTTTCGAGAGTATTTTTTTCCACTGTTTTTCTCTTCTTCTGTTTCTTATTACAGATAAATTCTTCGCTCAAGAACCAATTTCCTGTCACTTCTCATTGATCGATTTTTCAATTAATTTAAAACTCGAATTTTCAATAAATTCGAAAAAAAATATGTGAAACCAGCAAGCTGGTGCGGCTTCGGCGCGATTTAACCGAGTTTTTCACTGGTTGGTCGCTCCGCTCCTTGTTTTTTCTCAAAGTGTCACGTAAATTCATATTTATTTTTCAAGTTTTTCAAAAGCGGACAGAGTGACATCGGGACCAACAGACGGGTGTAGCGTTTTATATATAAGGATGATCTTTGAAGAAGAATATACGTGGATATTGAATTCCAATTTTGAGAGGGACTCACAATGTTCAGGAGGATAGAAGAGGTGATTTTTAAAAAAAACTCAACCTTTTGGAAGACTAAATGTTTCAGCAAGAATACCTCGGTGTATATCAGATGATTAGGCTTCAATAATTCGTTGAATTTTCAGATTCAATTTTTTAAAAGTGGCAACTTTTTTCGGGAAACTATGGGTCAACAAAAATCAAAAAAGGATTTATAAAAATCAATAATTTTCATTAAAATTCCAAAATCATTTAATTTTTATTCTTCTGATCTTCTACAATTTGCTCCCAGCTATTCCAGGAATCGAAATTCTTGTCTCTCTTTCATAATCCGGCAATTTTTTTGTAGCACCCAAATGATTCTTGAAAAAATGGATATGCTTTTCCCATGCAGTTTCTTGCACTTTTCCATGTGTACATGTGTCTCCACCAAATGCCAAATTGACATTTAAGAATTTGTTGTACCCAAAATAATGATGTGGGATGTATGGAATAACCATCACGTGACCAGAATTCACGAATTCAATCTGAATAGTCTGCTGAAGCGCGTTTGGTAATGAATGAGATTCTTACTTCCACTTTATGCCCTGTTTTGAGAAGATTGTCTCGAATATAAGTCCCATTCGTTACACCATCAACAAGCCAATCGTCTATTGAGGACTGTAATATTTTTTTGGTTTTTAAAATCAAGAAGGGTGGATATGAAAAAATAATATTCCCGATTTCATGTTTGGTACCGGTCAATAAGATATACAAAAACGTATTTTTCAGTTGATTTTGATCATTTTCAGGAGTCTGCGGAGTCAAGTGATGGATCGCTTTGAAAACTTTTGTAGATGTAAACAGACTTAGATTGAGAACTTTGCATTCACAGCAAAACTTTTAAATTACTAGATTTTCAGCTTTTTGCCAATTTTTTACAAATCACTCAATTTGTACCATATTTGTAATGAAATAGTGAAAATACAAATCAGTAAATAGATAAAAAGGGGTGTCTTTTAAAAATCAGCAAGTAGCCGAAAACTAGGAGTTTTCGAAACATTCTGTAAATGAAAAGTTTTTGATCTGGTTTGTTTTACACCCTTCAAAATTTTCAAAGTAATCGGGAACTTGACAGCCGAGTTCCAGACTCTTGAAAACTGGCAAAATCAACTAAAAACAAACGTTTTGTATACCTTACCGACCCGTACTGTATGAAGCGGCAGGATAGCCATGTGCTATGAATATACTCACCAATACTCTGAAAGGAATATTTGTCGATATTTTCTTCCATTTGATGCTAGTTGCCGGTCTCAACCTTCCTATTAGATCAGAAAATATCGCTTTCTGTTTGACAACTCCATTTTCAGTAACTGTCAACGACGAATCCAAAGTTTCGCATTCTATCGGTCTCCCATTTTCTCTTATATACCCTTTCTCTCTATAAAACGCTCCTGGACCATTTGTAGTTGCCACTGCTTTAAGCTCTGGGTGCTTGGTAGCCAAATGATGAGCAATAGTTCCCGCAAATGAAATTCCATAAAGACCGATTTTGTCGGAACAGTAGGGAAGTGATTGAACGTATTTTATATGCTTCTGAAAAATAGTTTTCGGAAACTCTAGCACAAAGAAATTACTGATAAATATTCAATATTAACGTCTTCGAGCGTTTTCGGAAGTCCAGGCTCATCGAACATCGGGAAACAAAAGCTCAAAAATCCTTCCGATGCAAAAAGCGGTGCGTGAGTTTTACAAAGTCTTCCGCTCAAAACCGGAGTGTCAATAATACATGGAAAGGGTCCAGGACCGGGTGGTTTATAGATAACACCCCAGATTCCACCTTGCTTTACTTCGATTTCAGCTACCAATGGATGATGCCATCGCTTTTTGAGATTGACTTCGTCTAGGAGTTCTTCGGATTCTGAGAGCAATCTGAAACGTTAGTTTTGTTTTTTTACATTATTTGTCCGGAACCAAAACTCACAACCGCATAGCTCAGGCAGTAACAAACCTTAAAGAATAGAAAAACGGCTCTCCTTCGAAATTCTTAATCATATCCCCATATGAAACATCGTCGGTTCTTTCTACAGTCATAAATAGTCCCATTGGGTCAGGTTCTACAACAAAAACAAAATTCAACCTTCTTTCAAAAACTCAGTTACCTAGATAAGTCCCTCTGATTGGCTTGGCAGATGTTAGGTCAATTTTTCCATGATCATCAGACTTTAGGATACAGTATGAGCGAAGTATTCCATTTGACGAGTGTAGCCTGAAATTTTTTTTTGGTTCATGAATCTGCGAAATAGTTAAAAAAAAAACTAACCTTAACTCAAACTTATAGTTCAAGAATGGTGTCAATCCTGAAGCTGAAATTTTCACTTTTTCAGTCAACAAACTATCCACCTTATCCACGTGGATCATTCTGAATGGGACAGTCAGCGTGAAAATGAATGCACCTATGGTGTCTAGTCACAAAAATTCTTATCAGTTGACAGTTAGGGGACATTATGATTATGATTTTTGATGTTCTCACGATTTTTTTTGACTAGACTTTAGGAAACTGAAAAGGGATATACCGTAAAAACTGTAATATAACGCCATCTGTAATAGAAGACCCCCTCTAATACATACAACGCCACCCGTAAAGGGTGCTTACAGGTAGCAAAACACAGTTTTTATGTTTAATCAACAGAGTAGCAGTGGAATCTAGAAGTTTAGTACCATTTTTTCATTTTGGTACCTTGTTAATCAAATAAAAAGCCAATTTTTGTTACCTCGCATCATCCCAGAACACCCCTCAAAAAAATAAAAGCCATGGCGCTATATTACAGTTTTTACGGTATCCTCAGTTTCACACTCTGCCAGTCTTGCGTTAGGTGCTTCTGGAGGTCTTCATTGTGCCGTTTCAACTAGAAAACTATTTAATCTATTTAACTGGAACATTTTGAGCTTGGAAAGTATTGTACTGTACAACAAGGAAGTAAAATTCAAGAATGCAACAATTTTCTTATCAGTGGTTGTAGCATTTCAATAAAATCTAGATGGGCATCTTACAGAAATGGGCAAACAGCTAAAAACTAGGAATTTTCAAAAAAAGCTCCAGACTTCTGAAAATGGTCAAAAGAAACTGAAAAACATGTCCCATAACTTCTAGAATGCTCGATTTTTTGAATATAAAGATTATCATGTAGCCTGCAAATCCAAAAATTGAAAAAAAAACTAAGAAAGTTTCAAAACCCTGAACTGGTCAATCGACAGCCTTTTTTTCAGTATATGAAGTTCTGTGGTTTATAGCTAACACCCCAAATTCCGTACCCTGAAAACCTCTCATGTGTCGGATCACTTTGAAAATTTTGGAGGGTGTAAAGTAGACCTAGGTTAAAAACTTCGCATTTATAGAATTTTTGAAATATCCTAGTTTTTTGGCTGCTTGTCTATTTCTGAAAGATGCCCACCTAGATTTTACTGAAATGTTACAACCACTGATAAGAAAATTGTTGCATTCTTGAATTTTAATTCCTTGTTTTACAACACACTCCAAACCCGAAATGCTCCAGCTGAATAGAGTAAGTAGTTTTCTAGTTGAAACGGCACAATGAAGACCTCCAGAAGCACCTAACACAAGACTGGCAGAGTGTGAAACTGAGGATAACTTTATCTTTTTTCAGTTTCCTAAAGTCTAGTCTAAAAATTGATGAAAACATTAAAAACCTTACTATCTCCTAACGGTCAACTGATAAGAATCTTCATGATTAGACAACATAGGTGCATTTATTTTCACTGTGACTGTCCTATTCAGAATGCTCCACGTGGATAAGGTAGAAAATTTCAGCTTCAGGATTGACACCATTCTTGAACTATAAATTTGAATTGAGGTCAGTTTTTTTTTAAACTATTTCCCAGATTCATGAAAAAAAATTTCAGACTACACTCGTCAAATGGAATACTACGCTCATACTGTATTCTAAAGTCTGATGATCATGGAAACATTGAATTGTCAACTGCCAAGCCAATCAGAGGGACATATATAGGTACCTGAGTTCTTGGAAGAAGCTCTAATCTCGTTTTTGTTGTAGAACCTGACCCAATGGGACTATTCATGACTGTAGAAAGAACCGATGATGTTTCATATGGGGATATGGTTAAGAATTATGAAGCGGAACCGTTTTACTATTCATTGAGGTTGATTTGACTGCTCTAATGTGAAGTATGAGCAACGCAGTCGCCAGCTACCGACCAAAGTGTAAATAAAACAAAAAACCAAAAAAAAAAGCGTTTCAGATTGTTCTCAGAATCCGAAGAACTCCTAGACGAAGTCAATCTCAAAAAGCGATGGCATCATCCATTGGTAGCTGAAATCGAAGTAAAGCAAGGTGGAATCTGGGGTGTTATCTATAAACCACCCGGTCCTGGACCCTTTCCATGTATTATTGACACTCCGGTTGTAGATGGAAGACTTTGTAAAACTCACGCACCGCTTTCTGCATCGGAAGGATTTTTGAGCTTTTGTTTCCCGATGTTAGATGAGCCTAGACTTCCGAAAACGCTCGAAGACGTTGATATTGAATATTTATCAGTAACTGCTACCTTATGAGCTGAAACTTTTGAAATCTGTATTTTCAGAAGCATATAAAATACGTTCAATCTCTTCCCTACTGTTCCGACAATATTGGTCTTTATGGGATTTCATTTGCAGGACTTATTGCTCATCATTTGGCTACCAAGCACCCAGAGCTTAAAGTAGTGGCAACTACAAATGGTCCAGGAGCGTTTTATAGTGAGAAAGATTAAATGAGAGAAAATGGGAAACCGATCGAGTGTGAAACTATGGATAGGTCGTTGACAATTACGGAAAATGGTGTTCTCAAAAATAAAGCAATATTTTCTGATCTAATAGGAAGGTTGAGACCGGAAACTAGCATCAAATGGGAAAACATATCAACAAATATCCCTTTCAGAGTGTTGGTGAGTTTTTCAATTTGTAAAAAAAACTAAACGCATTTTTTCAGTCCTCAATAGACGATTGGCTTGTTGATGGTGTAACAAATGGGGCTTATATTCGAGACAGTCTTCTCAAAACAGAGCATAAAGTTGAAGTAAGATCTCATTCGTTAGCAAACGCGCTTCATCGAACTATTCAGATTGAATTCGTGAATTCTGGTCACGTGACGGTTATTCCGTACAATCCACACCACAATTTTGGATTCAACAAATTTGTAAATGTCAATTTGGGCTTCGGCGGAGAGACAAGTACACACGGAAAAGTGTAGGGAACGGCATGGGAGAATCATATCAAGTTTTTCAAAAAGCATTTGGGAACTCCGAAAAGTTTGCCGGAATATGAACGAGACACTATGATTTCGATTCCTGGAAGAGTTGGGAGCAAGTTGTAGATAGAATCTCGGGGCATCTTATTGATATCTTTCACAGGAAGCGAGAAAAACGGGGTCAAAGCTGGGGCTCATTTATTAAAGGTTTTCAGCTTTATAAATAATATTCAATTTTCTGCTATTCAAACCTAAGATCAAAAGTATCAGAAAAAATAAGTTTTATAGTAAACTTTTAAAAATTACAACTTCAAAGAATCACTAAAAAATTCGATCAATCAGAACGAGATCCTTCACATCGACCATTTTCCCGCTCATTCGATTCTTCTCCAGTTTCCACACCAATTTTTTTGAACTATTCGCCACAACTATATACTTCCGGAGGTCCGACTCTTTGACTCGGCCAACACACGTTTTACCCCAATCCGTAAGGTCCAAGTTAGATGATGTCTTTATTTCAATGCTGGGAGTTTTGGAGGATGTGTTGAAAGCGCTCATTTTGGAGAAGATGAGCTGAAAATGACTTTACTAGATTCTCTTTGGTTTTATAAATTTTCTAGGATATGACCTGAATTCCAAGCTTCTAGGACATGGTCTGAATTTTTGCATTTCTAAGACAAGACCTACATTTTTGGAGTTTCTAGGGCATGACCTTGTTTTTTGAATTTTACGTCAGGATCTAATTATTCGGATTTTCTAGTTAGTGCTAGTTTTTTGGGGTTTCTAGGTTGTTACTTAAATTTATGGATTTTCTAAGCCATGACCTAATTTGTATGATTTCATGAATTTTAGGATTTTTAGGATCTAGGTTATGACCTTATTTATTGTAGTTCCAGCTCATGACCTAATTTTTCGGGTTTTCGAGGTCACGACCTCATTTTTTGGATTTTCTATGTCATGACTTATTTTTTTGAATTTTTCTAGGTCACGACCTAAATGTTGGGGTTTCTAGACCAAAACCTAATTTTTGGGTTTTTTAGGTCATGATCTGAGTTTTGTGGTTTTCTAGGTCATGACCTAATTTTTCAGGGTTTCTAGGCCATGACCTAATTTTAATGATTTTAATGATTTTTAGGATTTTCAGGATCATGACTTAATTTTTTGAATTTTTCTAGGTCACGACCTAAATGTTGGGGTTTCTAGGCCAAGGCCTAAACTTAGGGTTTTCTAGGTCATGACCTAATTTTTCAGAGTTTCTAGGTCATGATCTGAATTTTCGGGTATTCTAGGTCATGACTTTTTTTTTGAATTTTAAGTCAGGATCCTATCATTTGGATTTTCTAGTTAGTGCTAGTTATTTGGATTTCCTATGTCATGACCTAGATTTTGGGGTTTCTAGGTCGTTACTTAAATTTATGGATTTTCTAGGCCATGACCTAATTTTTATGATTTTTAGGATTATTAGTATCTAGGTTACGACCTTATTTTTTGTGTCCTGACCTGAGCTTTATGGTTCCCAGTTCACTACCAAAAATTTTGGATGTTTCGGGCATGGCCGAATTTTTTCAAAAATTTCAAAAATGTAAGTTGTCTATGAAAAAAAGTTACAGATCATAAAATTTGGCCAGCCGAGAAAATCGAAAATTTAAAGACTAAAAGAATATATGACCAGGTCCCTCGTTATAAAAAAATCAATTTTTAGTGAGATTCTGTAACTGAGAAAAATTGACACTGCAAAAACATCCGTAAGAAATTGCAAAAAAAAAATCAACTCAAAATTTTTTACCTGCGCCAAATCCATCAATTCCACTGAACCAATTTGGTCCACATCCACCACCAACCGGGACAAACATTCCAAACGAAGCACTTTGAGAAGTTTGTAAAGAGCCTGAGCACTATTCTCAGTTTCGCATTTCCATTCTAATGATTTGATGTTCAAACCGAATTCCGAATTATTTTTTCGTCGTTCCTGCACTTCTTGAACCACAGACTTTACGATAGTGTCCGGGTCGCATTTGAGATGAAATTCGAGATTGTGGATGATTTTTTCAGAATTCAGCAAATTGAAAATATGCTCGTGGGTTTGATTAAGAGGTGTTAGCGTTTGATGGGTCCTTGAATCGTCGGGTTTAGTGATTGAAATATTGGCGTTGCGCGCATTTTTGTTAATGTGGATGTTGAGAGTACATCGGCTGGAAAATTTGGAGATTTTGAAAAAATGGAATAGAATAGACAACTTACTTATTGCTCATTATAACAGAAGGAAGAAGAGACGGCAAAAGTAAAGTGTCCAAATGGAAAATGTGGGAAATAATATGAGCAGAATTGGAATTGAGGGAATATAAGAGAAAGAGAGCCAAACGAGGTGAGCATATAATCACAGGGAAGGTGAGGCACCTTGGATACGAATATGGCGAGAAGATAATAATGTGTTTTGGTGAGAGGCATCACATTTAGGTAAGCATTGTTTTCGAAAACTGGGAATTGAAAAAAATGTCGAACCATTACCATTCATTGGCCAACATGCTACTCCGGGTCCCATCTATGTTGGAAAATGACCCGCGGTCCGGGCCGGGTCGGGCCCGGGATTTGAAATCAAGCCTGTCATCTCAGCCTAACCACCCCATAAGGTCCCTTCTTCCAATTTCCAATTGTTTCCTTTTTCCCCTGCTTCCTAATGAGTGCAGGTGGTTTGTAGACTAATCCGTACCTGGTTGGTTAATCCCTTTTTGTATCCAGTGGAAAAAGGCACAACAAGGATTGAGATCTAATTTGGATTATATCTCGTTCGTGGGGAATTGAATAAGTTTTGGAATGGAAAAATTCGGTTTTCCATATCTCAGAATTTCAAAATTTCAGAATTTCAGAATCTCATCATCTCAGAATTTCAGAATCTCTGTAATTTTAAAATTACAAAATATCAGAATCAAAATCTTGGAATCTCAGAACTTCAGAAACACAGCATCTCAAAATCTCAGAATTTTAGAACTTTAGAACCTTAGACTTCCCGAATCTCAAAATCTCAAAAACTCAAAATTGTAAATTTTCAGAATTCCGGGATTATAGAATCTCAGCATCTTTAAATTTCAGAACCTCTGAATCTCAAAATTTGGGACATCCGGATACACAGACCCACAGAAAGCTTATTTTTCTTTCATCGTCTATTTCTCTACCATCTTCTTCTCTCTCACACATGTGAAATTTTTTGTGGTTTATGATCACAAAAAGGAGGGTCTCCCCGCCGTTGTCCGTCTCGTTGCCAAACGTTGTGTAATTCCGCTGTCTATATAAATAGAGATAAGAGAATCAGACGAAAAAAGTAAAAAATACAGAGTACATTTTATTTTCTTACCTTTATTTCATTTTGTCTTACAAAAAATGATTTCTCTACAACACATTTTTTCTATATTGTTCATTTTTCCTATTGCTGTATCTTCGCTAAACATTTTGGTTTATTCTCCAGCTTTCGCTGGAAGTCATAGTAATTTTTTGGGAAAAATCGCGGACACTTTGACAGAGAAGGGACATAATGTGGTGAGTTATTTGGACCCTAAACTTTTTTTCTCAAAATTCGGAATTTTTTTTAGCCAAACACAATAAAATTATTTTTGATTTTTTTCAGATTTCAACCATATTTTTCAAAAAGTCGAATTTCTTAAAGAGAGTACAATTCGAATTTTTGAATTCATGAAATTTTGAAGTTTTGAATTGGAAATGCTTGATGACTCTCGGTTTTTTTAATTCCCAGGCTATAAGAAATTTAAAAAATTGTAAAAAAATATTCTAAATTCATAAATTCGAAAAAAAAATTAAATAATTTTTATGAATATATGAAGTATTTCGATCTAGAATCTATGATTTTCAGACATTTCTGGTGCCAGTGGTGATGATTGGAAAACGAGACGAGTGTGTGAATGGAGTCAAATTGACTAAGGATGTGGTTGTTGTGGAGGTAAGGTATACATTTGGATTTTGTATGGTGTTTTTTTCAGGCCGGCCCAGAAACCTTATCCCAACAAAGTGGTGATATTAACAATGACGAGAATTTGAAAGCGTTTTGGAAAGCACACATGGACTCGTCAAATGCGAGATCGGTATTCGGGAGATGTTCAACAATTCAAAGTTTCATTTTTTTTAATTTTTCAGAGCACTACATGGTTCAATATTGCTATGAAGTTCGCTTGCCGACATTTTCACAGTCAACGCGATGTTTTTGAGCAAATGAAGGCCAAGAACTTCGATGTCGCGATTCTGGAGCCAATTTCCGTTTGTGGACTTGGATATATGAAAGCGTTGGGAATTGAGAAAACGGTTCTGGCTTCTTCGTTTACGTTTTTCGATGTGGTCCTACCGTATACTGGAGAAGAGTTGGATTATAGTTCTACTCCTGGTGCGTTTGGATCGTTTGGAGAGAAAATGACCATGTGGGAGAGATATGAAAATTGGATGGTAAATAAGGTAGGTTGAAATTTGAATTTTGCAATCTAAGAGTTTCAGAATCGAATTTTAGAATTTATGAGTAACTTCTGAATTTCTATTAAATTTCTGACTTTTTAGAGTTTCTGAATTTCTGAATGTCTGAATATCAGAATCTAAAATTGTCAGAATCTCAGAATCTCAGAATCTCAGAATCTCAGAATCTCAGAATCTCAGAATCTCAGAATCTCAGAATCTCTAAATGTCTGAATTTCAGTATCTCAGAATCTGAGAATCTCAGAATCTCAGAATCTTAGAATCTTAGAATCTGAGAATCTGAGAATCAGAGAATCAGAGAATCAGAGAATCTGAGAATCTCAGGATCTCAGAATCTCAGAATCTCAGAATCCAAGAATCCATGAATCAGAGAGTCCGAAATTTTAAGAATTTGAAAATCCTAGTAACTCAGAATTGGAATATTAGAATTTCCAAATTCAAGAATTTTTGGATTCCTGAATTTTTGAAATTTCTCTACTTCTGAAATTTCAAATTTAAAAATCTGAGAATCCGAGATTCCCATAATCTCAAAACCTCTAAACATCCAAATTTCCAGGAAGTAAACATGGCCCAAGAGGACATGTATGAAGGAGAAATGGAAGCGTATCGTGAATTATCCGGAAAAACCCTGCCAGACTGGAGGGAACTTCTACCCTCTGCGTCTCTATTCTTCGTTAATTCTAACTCATTCCTGGATTTTCCACGCCAAGTCCTCCAAAAAACCATTCCGATCGGAGGCATCACAATGAATCAAAAATGGATCAAAGAACAAAAGCTATCCGAAGATTGGGAGAAAATTCTGGAACAGCGACCTCATACTATTCTTATCTCTTTTGGCTCAATGATCAAAAGTATGTACATGCCAAAGGAATGGAGAAACGGACTCCTCGAAACAGTTCGATCCATGCCAAATGTGACATTCATTTGGAAATATGAATCAGACGACGTCGCCTTTGCTTCAGGGCTTTCAAATCTTCATTTTTCAAAATGGGTTCCTCAAACAGCGCTTCTCAATGATCCACGACTCTCTGCTTTCGTGAGCCATGGAGGAGTCGGAAGTGCTCTAGAACTTGCTTACAGTGGAAAACCAACAATTATGATTCCAATTTTTGCGGATCAAATTCGAAATGCAAATATGCTCGCCCGACACCAAGGAGTCATACATTTGAACAAGAATGACATGGAAAACTTCAGAAAGACCCAGAAGGCGTTTAACGATATTTTGTACGAGGAGAGTTATACGAGGAATGCAAGAAAGCTGGCTGATGTTTTGGCGACGCAGCCGTATAGCCCAAAAGATAATGTGATCAAGTATACGGAGTTTGTGGGAAAGTGAGTTGGTTCTTGAGCAATTTTCATATACTTGAAGCCGCTAGAGGCCCTCGAGGTACCTGGGTAGTTATTCCGTAACCTGGAAATGTCTTAACCGACCCAGAACCGTTAAAATATTGAATTCCTTTTCAAGACAGAAAATGAAACTTTTCAAAAAAAGTGTTTTCTCCAAAAACCAAAAGGGGATAGATTTATGGTCAGTACTGTTAAACGACATTTCATATTTGAGCTCAATTATGTCGGTTCTTTATCAAGCTATCAAAAGGAAATCAGCTGATAATTTGTTTATCATATATCACAAACATTTTACCAGTTGACATATTTTTGATATCTTTCACAGGAAATGAGATAATTGAGCTCAAACCTGGCAGCGTGGCTTCAAATTTCAACCGAGTCCCCAGTCGGTCCGAGACGATCCACACACTTCTAGCTTTAACCCTATTTATCTCTTTAACCCTATTTATCACTGATAAAATGCTTATCATAATATCAAAAACATTTTGTCAGTTGACAACTTTTCAATATCTTTGACAAATAATGAGATAAATTGGGTCAAAGTTGGGGTCTTTTGCATCTCTCACACAAAAACCCTGTTTTTTTTTCCAGACATGGCCCCTTCCCGGCTATGGAACCTCACGGACGTCATTTGAACTACTTCCAAAGGCATTTCCTGGATATTTATGCCGTTTTCGCACTGTTCTACACTACGATAGCCGTCATAGTAGCAGCTGTGGTATGGTGCATCTACCGAAAATGTGTGAAATGCTTGAAAGTAGAGAAAATCGAGTAGTGATCTAGTTTTTTGTAAAAATAAAAACTTTGTAAAAAAACATTTTTACCTGTTTGAATTTCAAAAACCCGTATACAAAACAAAAATAAAATGAGCAATCTAAAGAACAAAAAAGAAAACAAAGATCGTAAAAATTGAAAGAACCCGTAAAAAAAACAGAACAAAGTGTTCTACAGCTGAAAAAAGTAACAAAAAAAACAGAATCTAATCGAAAAAGATGGATAAATCATCAGCCTTATCAACAACATCCCTTGGGGCATATTTCCCTCGAAGGCGGTTAGGCTCAAATCGAAAAACAGCTAGTTGTTCGGGAACCCGTGTGGGTCTGGTGAACATCAATATCCCGTTTTGCATTTTGACCTTCAACCCGTTTTGATCGGCAAATTTCTTGATCTTGGACGGCGCAATAGTCTTAATATCAAATCTTGGAAGCACATCTATCTTTGGCTCTTTGTTCTTGAACTTCTGGAAAATATTTACTTGACGTGTATTACATATATTCAAACCCACTGTTTCCAAACTAATAATCTCATAATTGCTTGCAGAGCTGAGAGTTACTTTGAAGTCGTCCATAGCCAAAAAATAATCTTCGTTGGCATCTGCCGGCACCATAGGGACAATCTCAAGGGCTTCCAGATTCTTCCATTGTTCCAGATCTTGGAGGTCGCAGATGAATACACCCGGGAACTTCTCATTCTCCACTTTCACTGACTTCAAAACTTGGGGGTTGAACTTCTTCAAGAGCTCCATGAACAGCACGGCACCTGTGCTGGAGCATTTGTAGACGAACCGGGCGGCGGGAATCTGAGATCCTTCATTCTGCAAGCTATCGACGATGGTATTTGTGATGGAGTCGGCTAGCTGGCAAAGATGACCATCGCACATAAAGACAAACTCTTCGATTACTTCGACTTGTCTCAATCGTTGGAGGATAGCTCCAAAATCCAGAGCAGGCACTTCCAATTGCTCGATGCCATTAAAGGTCAAAATAACAGTTGAGTCTCTGATGACGATTGTGGCTATTGGCGAGTTGTGGATGACCCTGAAAAATCAAGGTTCAAAAATAGAAAAATTGCCATAGAAATCCCTTCTAACTTATAGCTTTGAGCAAGAGCTCCATGAACAAACATTTTTCATCCCAAAGCCAATCTTGATTCAGAAGACACAAAAACTGGTTGAGTTTCAAAAAACTTATACAACGTTTTGTTGGAAATCCAGCCACTTTTAACAAAAAAGTTTTCGATTATTGGACAAGTTTGAGCAAAGTTAGGAACAAAAATATAGAGTGACACTCACTAATGCTCGCCACTATGTATTTCGTATGTATTTCGCTCACGAGTTCAACACCCAAAAGGGCTTCTTCTGGCTAAATATCGAGGAAAATTGGTTTTTGGTGACTCGCCACCTTTTATATAAAATATGGTCCATATCCTAAAATTCCATTCCAATGGAAATTTCGCAATCCCTTTGATTCAATAGAGCGCATTTGCAAGCGTCCTACCACCAGTCCTCTGCATAACAATCTCGTCGTCGATCTGACTAGTAAATCCCGAGAGACACCTCCAAACACCTGCCCCCTGTCCACCATGTATAAACAGAACACGCCCACTCATATGACACTCTCACACATACACTATCCTCCTCTCTCACCCCTCCTCTTTCATATTGTCATGTGCTTTTCTGGTATATTCAATTCTAGGCTGTACGCTCTTGCTCATTCTCCTCAAATCTCATTCATTATTGAATTTCCCCATGTCATGTGGAAGCCTAGAACTTACATTTCCTCCATTCTGTTTTCGACAGCTTCCTCTTCCTGTTCTTGTGCTTCTGGTTTCACTTCTGAAAATCGATTTTTGTTTTTAACACGATCTATTCTTATTATCTTACCTTCCATCACATCATCCATCTCTACATCATCAACTAGGACCCGCTCTTCTGATTCTGGTACCCCATCGTCCATCTGGAAATATCCATCTCCTTCCTTCTTAGCTTCCTCCACTGGTTCTGGTACCATAACAGCTTCTTCTCGAGCGCTGACGCCTTCTCTTTGTGCATTCTCTTGTCCCAAGGCCTCTTCTACCGAATCGTCTGTCATTCTTTTTGGTAAAGCGTAGAAGAAGTCAGCAGGATCTTCAATATCTTGAGGGTCCATTTCTTGAGCAAGGGCATTCAATGCCTCCGAAGATTGATCTGAAATTTCACACTTCTCAAAATCCTCTTTGAATGTTGAGCTTACCATTCCTGCTAGCCGATTGTTCCTTATGCTCCACAACACCTCTTGTAACTCCTTCCTCACTCACATCCTCATTAGAAATCCGATCAACTTGGTCCTTAGCATCTGGATGAGCGAATCCGAGAAGCTTGGTCATTCCTTTTAGATTTTGTTCTAGCTCGTCCTCTCCACAACCAATTGCTCCGTTTCCAAAACTTATAACTTGAAGAGAATGTGATTCTTCACCTACGACTAGCGAATTAGGTGGTGTTGGAGCTATGAAGTTTTCACAAATGACGGCTTCAATAGAATCTGGTTGATTTTGAACTTCATCAACGGGGACTGAATTAGTTGGTACTTCATTAACCATTAGCATTCCTAGATTTTGTGACTTTTTGACGACGTGGGATTCAGTCGAGGTAGAAGCTTCTGGGTGGGGATAGGAGTTGAAAATTGCTTGATAGGGCTGGACTAATCCCGCTGCAAGGAACGGTGTAGCTCCAAACTTAACAAATGCATATGAAGGATCTGATCCAATAGAAGATAAAAAGTTTTGGTGGCTTTCATGATCCTCGGCGACTTTTCGAGCAATTGGTTTCATTATTGGCGTTGGTGCTTGTTGCCCTAGTGACGCTTCATCCTCAAGTTCCTCATGTCCTCCTCATCCATCCATTCCATGTCTTCAACTTGCTCATCCGCCTTTTCCTCTAATCCCTTATCTTCTTGTTGTACATTAACCTGATGGCGACCATTCATATTCTGAACGCTTTGACCATAAGCGATAATCTTGAGAAACTCGTGGGTCACCTGAGCTGGCAGTCCGAAATTCCTGATTGGCGTTCCTAGGGTAATTGAACCATTGACGCTAACGCTTGAAAAAAAACCATTAGTTTCTTCACGGAATTCTTAATAACTTACTTTTGACTTTCCAAAAGACTAGCGATTGAAAAATACCCGTTTATCGAGCGGTCACTAATAGGATCTGGCGATGGCTCCGCTATTTGTCTTGCACGCACGCTGTGGTCGTATGGAGGGGTCCTAAAATTCTTTCATATTTTTATGCTAAGAACAGTCTGCTAACCATATCTGTTGGGTGGTTCTCTGTTGCTGGTTCTCACGAGGCTGCAGATGATTTCTAAAACTGTGAGAATAATTTTAGGCGTGACGTTTAAGCTGAGCATCTCTTTAACTTTAAGATTCTCAGATTTTTGGCCCATTACACATTCTTATCAAAATCGTTCAAAACTTACCCAATTTTCTGAGTCATCTCTTCTGTGGAAGTTGGGTATGTATCAATAAAGTGATTGGGCGAATCTTTCACAACTGTAGGTGTTTCTCTGAAAAAAAGAGTGTTTAATGATAGACTGATTTATTCCAGAAATCACAATTGTTAAATTTTAAATCTTACCTCTTGTTTTTTTGACGTCCTTTTGTTTTTTCGAGGTCCTCTTTGTTTTCTCGACGTCCTTTTTTTGAGTCCGGCTTCTGTTGTGGTTCGTCCTCGACGGGTGGTAATTTTTGGATCTGTTGGGACTGAAACCTTTGAGCTTGCTGATCAACGAGACGTTGCGAATTAGCCAGATGTTCAAGCTCTCTCAAACTGTTTCTGGAGAAGAAATTCATGTAATACGTATGCACTTATTGTGTTTATACTCACAGACGTGGATAAGGCGAGTTTCTAATTGCTGGAACGTCGATAGCGTTAATGTGTTCTCCATTTTTCTGCACCATTGCTCCATTGCTCCATGCCCCACGTCTTTTTCTCATGGGAGTTAAAACTGGCGGAATTTCGAAGGTTGACACCTGTTCCGGTGCCAAGCTTCGCGTAGGAATAGCAGCTAGCAATTCAGAAAAAGCCAAGTTTTGAGGTGCTGTACTTCTGTTTCTGAAAAAGAAATTCGTCTAATATAGAGATGCACTTATTGTGTTTATACTCACAAAAACGGAAGTAGCGAATCCAAGTTGCCCGGCAAGGCGCCATTTATATGTTTTCCATTTCTTTGTCCACCGTTTATAGAGGAAATTGGAACTTCCGGGAGTTCTAAGCTTGAAAACTGAGGTTCAATTTTTTGAGCCTGTCGATCAACGAGCGGTTGAGAAGCGGTCATTTGTGGAGTCACTGTACCATTGAGGCTGGAAATGAAAATTATGTCATAGGTGAACATGTATTTTTTCATATTACTCACATATGCCGTAAGAGCAAATGCGCACTTGCATTTATCGGGGGAATCGAAGCTTGTGGTTGTTCAAAATTAGAAACAGCTAAAGTAAGAATGGTTTTAACTGGCGGAGTAACTACTGTACCATTTCTTCTGGAAAATAAAAAATATGTGCTCTAGGTCATGATTTTTTTTGTACTCACAATGGCCAATGAGGAATATTTCCATGATTTATTGGTCCAATGTTCCCGTACCGATTTTGGTCCAGTTGGTTCACGAATTTTGAAACCGGTGAAACTTGAGGAGGGTGTGTCCGCTGTCGGAGGGGATGTTGGAGTAGAGGATTCGGCAAAGTTGATGTGGACGGATTCGGGCTGAAATATTAGTTTCAAAATAGTTGTAGCAAAATCAATTTACTAGACTGATCGCTTTTCTACTAACAGAGCTACGCGGTCACATCTTTTGTCTGTGAATAACGTTAAACAACTTATGTACATGTGTCCATAATGGAAGCCATTCAAATCGGTTCCATTTGCAGGGGGAGGCATTTCAGGAACTCTGAAAGTAAGTGATTTTCGTAAAGAATAGTTTTTATTGTTCTATTTTCTTGGACCCTTCAACCAGGTGTTACGGAAACTAAATGTGTTGCAAAAATGAGATCAAAATGGCCACCACTATGAAAAGGCCGGATTAATATAGGGATTATGACATTAATTTCGGGGTTTTACGTTTTGTGGAAACTGATACATTTAAAAGTTAGAATTTTGAGCGAGGAACGGTGTATTTTGTAGCTTCCAGCAAAGCTACAATGGCTTAACCTGCGCGGCCATCCGATGTCGTATTTGCAAAAGACACAATGGCCACGCGGTGTGTGGACGCAGCTCACTTTACATCACGTTCAAATGCATACAGTAACCCCAAAAAAACTCCGAAAAGTCTCCTGTCTCGTATTCTTTATCTAGAAAAAATTGCTTAAGACTTGGTTTATAATTTCTGAAACTTTAAATTACTGTACGTACTTTTTCAGATATCTAAAGTTGGCTAATTCAAGTTGTAATGCTCAATGTGGAGGCTAGGAGATAAGTAAGACATAATTCCCCTCGACTGTTCCTGACACCCAGTGCTCCTAGCTACGACGTCTACAAAAAGCAAGACGATTTCAGAATCCCCAATCCTAATCTCAGGGGGGGGGGGGCAGTATGTAGATAAGAGAAAATGCGCAACAGAAGGGGAGGTAGATCAACTAATCTTCTGTTCAAAGAGTTACGGGCTTAGCGCAGGATTGATGTTCTCTCACACTTTTTTCGCAAGTGTTACATGCATATACTTTCAGATTAGACATGTTTGAGGCTGTAGTGTTTGAAGTCAGAAACGTTTCGAAAATGGGAGGAATTAATTGTATTTTGTTTAGAATAAAGGTGATACTTTCACCGTGAGAGTTGTCAACATATAAACAAAGTGACAAGAATATAAACACTTTTAGAGGTAGAATGAGTCAAAAAGAAGCTGGAAAAAATAATCAACTGATTTTGAGCAAGAATTTGAAACAGATGCAAAACTTTGCCTCCCACATGCAAAAAGAATGTTCTCAGCTGTTTTTTTTCGAATAAGTAGCTCAAAAAGTTATTTCAGAGTTTCAAAGTCAGAAAGACAAAAATTATGAAGATGGAATTACGGTAGAGGAATGCTACTTTGCTGCTCACCTTAACAGATTGTTTCTTCTTGTCTGGTCCTCGATAGATGGTGCAGCTTTCAAGATCCTTTGCATTTCATCAGTCGACGTTGGGAATACAGAGGATCCTGGTGAATTCATTCTGTGTTATGTGAGGTAGATTTATTCAGTAGTATAATCTGTAAATTTAATTTTTACGACGTAAAAGTTTAGTATGTAATCTTGAAGTGTGAAGAAGCATAAATCCCATTTCAGGTGTTTAGGCTCCGCAAAGCTACAGTAAGATTTCTGTCTGACTATTAAACAAGTTTCCAACCCCAACATATAAATGTAACCTAGTTTTGAGAAACAAGCTACTTCAGAGGGGGTCACAGTATTTAGGCACGAAATTTGTTTTGGTCCAGTTTCCGAATTCGGAGTTTTCGGTTCAACGTTCAGATCAGGTGACACAGTTTCCTCCAGATACCTAGAATTTCTTGACCCAAACAGCTACCTACCAACGAGACATACAAAAATGTGTTGTTAGCCGATTTCGATCATTTTCAGGAGTCTGGAGCTCGGCTGTCAAATGACCGATAACTCCGCGAATTTCGGATGGTGTGAAACAGATCAAGATTGAAAAATTTTCATTCACAGAATTTTTTGAAAATTCCTAATTTTCAGTTATTTTTCGATGTCTGAAGGACATCCCTTTTTGGTCAGTTTTTGTACGGAAAACGTGTGAACGTTAACCAGGACATAACCCTAACCTTACTGGAAAACGATCAAAAAAATTTAGGTCATTTCCCAAAAGGGTTTAGGCATTTTTAGGCCTCCTCAAATCATAAAAAATAATTTTAGGCCCGACACATAGCGTCGCCCAAGCTGAAATGGAGGCGCGCCGAAGCTCCGTGACAACTAAGCATGGAGAAAAGAGGGCGATCGCGCCTGGAGCATCGATAGGGCTGTTGTGCTCTCTCAGAGTCCGGCGCCCCTCCCAGACGACTCGACGCCCGCCACACTGCTCCCGATGAGCCTCAACGTCGTCGCCGGTCGGGTCGCCAGAAAAAGCGGAGACGGGCAACAGGGGAAAAGTATAGAATAATGAGAGAGTGCAGTTGGGATTTGCATGCTTTTTTGTCTCTAAATCTGAAAATGATATGAAAAATTGGGAAACGCGAGGGGGTGCGAAGAGAGTGTTGGCGCGTATGTACTAGAGGACAGACAGGGGAAAAAAGAACAACAGATGGAAAGATGGAGAGGTGCAAAAATGAATGGAATGTATAAGTTTTGATAGAGACTCTCTATTAGAGAGACGTGAGAGAGAAAAAAGTGAAATCTGGAAAAGTGGGAAAACGGGAAAAAAGTAGGAGCTGGAAAAAGTAGATCTTAAATTTAGGAGCAAGCATACGAGCACTAGGATTAGGAGAAGGTGGAATTCAATTGAATCTCAAAAATTGAGAATCTTAGAATCCCCGTTTCACGATTGGAGAGTCAGAATCTGAGAATCAGAATCTAAGTATCAGAATTTCAGAATTTCAAAATCAGAATTTCAGAATCTCAGAATCTCAGAATCTCAGAATCTTAGAATCTCAGAATTTCAGAATCTCAAAATTTCAGAATCTCAGAATTTCAGAATCTCAGAATCTCAGAATCTCAGAATCTCAGAATCTCAGAATTTCAGAATCTCAGAATCTCAGAATCTCAGAATTTCAGAATTTCAGAATCTCAGTATTTGATTTCCAGAATCAGAATTTAGGATTTCAGAATCTCACAATTAGAAATCTCAGAATCTCACAATCTCATAATCTCATAATCTCAGAATTTCACAATCTCAGAATCTCAGAATCTCAGAATCTCAGAATCTCAGAATCTCATAATCTCAGAATCTCAGAATCTCAGAATCTCAGAATCTCATAATCTCAGAATCTCAGAATCTCAGAATCTCAGAATCTCAGAATTTCAGAATCTCAGAATCTCAGAATCTCAGAATCTCAGAATCTCAGAACCTCAGAATCTCAGAATCTCAGAATCTCAGAATCTCAGAATTTCAGAATCTCAGAATCTCAGAATCTCAGAATTTCAGAATCTCAGAATCTCAGAATCTCAGAATTTCAGAATCTCAGAATCTCAGTATTTGATTTCCAGAATCAGAATTTAGGATTTCAGAATCTCACAATCAGAATCTCAGAATCTCGGAATCTCAGAATCTCAGTATCTCAGAATCTCAGAATTCGATTTCCAGAATCAGAATTTAGGATTGCAGAATTTCAGAGAATTTAGGATTTCAGAATCTCACAATCATAATCTCATAATCTCAGAATTTCACAATCTCAGAATCTCAGAATCTCAGAATCTCAGAATCTCAGAATCTCATAATCTCAGAATCTCAGAATCTCAGAACCTCAGAATCTCAGAATCTCAGAATTTCAGAATCTCAGAATTTCAGAATCTCAGGATCTCAGAATCTCAGAATCTCAAAATCTCAGAATCTCAGAATCTCAGAATCTCAGAATCTCAGAATCTCAGAACCTCAGAATCTCAGAATCTCAGAATTTCAGAATCTCAGAATTTCAGAATCTCAGAATTTCAGAATCTCAGAATCTCAGAATCTCAGAATTTCAGAATCTCAGAATCTCAGAATCTTAGAATCTCAGAATTTCAGAATCTCAGAATTTCAGAATCTCAGAATTTCAGAATCTCAGAATCTCAGAATCTCAGAATTTCAGAATCTCAGAATCTCAGAATCTCAGAATTTCAGAATCTCAGAATCTCAGTATTTGATTTCCAGAATCAGAATTTAGGATTTCAGAATCTCACAATCAGAATCTCAGAATCTCGGAATCTCAGAATCTCAGTATCTCAGAATCTCAGAATTCGATTTCCAGAATCAGAATTTAGGATTGCAGAATTTCAGGTTTTCAGAATCTCAGAATCTCAGAATCTCAGAATCTCAGAACCTCAGAATCTCAGAATCTCAGAATTTCAGAATCTCAGAATTTCAGAATCTCAGGATCTCAGGATCTCAGAATCTCAAAATCTCAGAATCTCAGAATCTCAGAATCTCAGAATCTCAGAATCTCAGAACCTCAGAATCTCAGAATCTCAGAATTTCAGAATCTCAGAATTTCAGAATCTCAGAATTTCAGAATCTCAGAATCTCAGAATTTCAGAATCTCAGAATCTCAGAATCTTAGAATCTCAGAATTTCAGAATCTCAGAATTTCAGAATCTCAGAATTTCAGAATCTCAGAATCTCAGAATCTCAGAATTTCAGAATCTCAGAATCTCAGAATCTCAGAATTTCAGAATCTCAGAATCTCAGTATTTGATTTCCAGAATCAGAATTTAGGATTTCAGAATCTCAGAATCTCAGAATCTCAGAATTTCAGAATCTCAGAATCTCAGAATCTCAGAATTTCAGAATCTCAGAATTCAGTATTTGATTTCCAGAATCAGAATTTAGGATTTCAGAATCTCACAATCAGTATCTCAGAATCTCGGAATCTCAGAATCTCAGTATCTCAGAATCTCAGAATTCGATTTCCAGAATCAGAATTTAGGATTGCAGAATTTCAGGTTTTCAGAATTTCAGAACCTCAGAATCTCCGAACCTAAAATGTCGAATTCGAAATTCTGATGATTCATTGAAAATCTATCTCATTTTTAATTCTAAAAGTGCGTGCTAACAGAACAAGACCCCAATTGTTTCATTTTGTTTCCACCACCCTCCTAATTATAATTTTGCCCCCCCCCCCCCCCCATGGAGCCCTTGTCAAATATTAATTAAATTTGATGACCTCAAAACCTTTGAAAAATTATTTTTGAATTTTAAATTTTATTTATCAGTGTCAGGCTGTGCTGGTCAGTTTTGTAGTATGAGTGGTCCCTCGGGAGGGTACAAAAAGGAGATTAGAAACGGGTACCTTGATGGATAACAAGGGTCGGAGAGGGATAGAGCAGGATTCAAAATGTTCCAGAAGGTCAGAAGGGTTCAGGTTTGAAAACGGACCGATAACCGTGCGGTCGGCGGGCCGGGCAATAATGCTGTAGGCCGAAAATCTGTCTGTCGTTGACCCGTCGTTGGCCCGTTTTCGCCCGCTCGGTTTGGTTATGGGAGTTTTCCCACTTACACAGGTAAAATGCGAACGGACCCGTTACGGACTCTCCGCGTTCGCGTGCGGTTGAGATAGGAATCGTATGCGGACTGTACGCGAACCGTTTCCAGCAAAACACAGCACATTATTGCGGGGTTCTCCGGTATTCTGTCCGTTCGCGACCTCCGTATCCGATCCG